ATTAAAAAAAAAAAAAAAAAAAAAAGGAGGAAAAAAAAAAAAAAAGCTTTCACTACTGTTTAGATTACTTTAATCTCGATATTTACAAGGGGAAGTCAGTATTGCCAATTTGAGCCTTTTTACCAGTGATGGCAAAGAAGGAATTCAGGGCCTAATCTTTGCCTTGAAGAGAGTAAACAATTACCTCCCAAAACATTTTGATGTTCTGTACTTCATAAGTTTGCCTAAAAGAAATAATTGTTTGATTTCTAGTTATATACAATTAAAGATGAATAAACACAAACAACTGACAACTCCACACAATGGGAAAACTGCAGAGCTCAGGGACAACCACCCAGGCAGGGCTGCCAGTCCCAACCTCAGCAGCCAGCTCAAGGATGCTGCAGTCCTGAGAAGCCCACGGGCATCCTGTCCAACCCTAGCGAGTCTGTTAACGTGTTAACGTTCCCAAGAACACACAGCGGTTCTTGCTAGGGTTTGCAAGGCACTCACACGCTAGCAAGCCTTGCCCAGCACATGACACCTTCCCACATTGCCTCTTTGCACAGCTGTCTTGGGTATCATTGCTGCAGCCACCCCAGTGCGCTGCGGTCTTCACCCCCAGGGCCAGCAGCCGGGGAGGAACAGACACCACAGCTAGGGGGAGAGGCAGCAGCAAGCCTTGGGGTGTGTGTGTTCTGCAAAATGCAGGGTAATACGGAGACACCTGAGCTAATGCTGAACAAGGTAGTTAAATGAGTATGAAGAAAAGTCACACCAACACAGCAGACAGCTCAGTGTTGGTTAATTTGCTCTGCCTGCCTGGTTGGCCAGATATATGCCTGTTAATAGTAACTCTTTGAAGTAGACCAAGAATATAAACAGAGGACAAAATATTTTCATGGCCTGCTGTTCTCCTTTGCTTGCTTCCAGAAGGGTACAGAGCATGCCACAATGCATCTGCACAGAAAAGAGAACAGGGTAATTTTCATGCGCCACACAGAACACGTTCACAGTTTCAGTGTGGAGTTTGCCTACTTGTTTAACGCGCGCACACACTCTCAGGGAGGCAGTCAGCTTTGCAGATAGGTCACTGAAGTCAGACAAACATAGCTTGATTCCTAATACAAGAAATATTTTGAAAAGTCACTTCATCCTGTTTCCTCCTTCATGCCTCGTTATATACATGATTTGTCTAACCCATTCACTATTGATATGTTATTCAGAATCAAAACATATAAATTTATGTTCACCAAAGAAAAACTAAAACTAGACGAAATGGTTCCAATACACCCTGCCACTGAGAGCAGGATTTTCTCTAGAATGAGTCTCTGCCTGGCAGCTTTGTGGCTTTACGTTTACAGTGGTAAAACATTCTCTCTATGTTGATACACTAATGTAAGTGAACACAGAATGACCAGCAAACACCATTGCCACACTATGTAAGAAAGACCCATTAGCTTTGAACCGTTATCTCTTGCCCTAACTACAGTTATCAATCAACATCCCACAACAACGCAGCCATCAGCTTATTCTGTTTGTGTAGGATCAGCTGAACAGGTGAAGAAAAATTACACATTTGGTCAAAGTCTGGAGCTAATTCTTGCCCAGAAACCACGTAGCCATGTTGGTGTGGTACTGTGCTCAGACTAACATCAGCATCCTGTTAATGATAAACTCCACCATGAGTGGAGTTCATCGTAACTCATAATGAGAACTCCACCATAATCAGAGTGGCTTCCAGTTTAGAGCTGGCTTGCGTCTGAGACAGCCCAGGAAGTGAGCAGGACTGCCTGCAGCTCCCTGCAGACACCAACTCTTGATCTTGAAGCAAGTATTTGAAGCGTGCAAGATGTGAAAAGCAAGTAATTTGTTTCAAATTATTAACAGGTCCCTGTCCACAGGACTCTGAGATATGTATTTCAGAAAGCCTCAAGTTCACCACTGAAATAAAGAATACGATACAGTCCTAGAGGGAACGTGCAGTGGGGTGCCTCTAAGAGGAAAACCTCAGAGGGGGTGTTGTGGAGACACCGGACTTCACTTTCTTTTACCCTAATGCCTATCCTCCTGCCTGCACAATTCCCCTTATCCTTTACTGGACACAGAAAACGAGCCAATATTACAAAGTTCTGCCACTTGAAAAGTAGATCTGCCAGACACTTTCCAAAGGAATAGACCTTTTCACAGAAAGTCAGAACCATAGCATGATCTATACAGAAGCTGACGGCTGTGCAAAGAAAACATAACACTTCTAGGTGGAAACCTCCACAGCTGAGAACAGAGACTCCATGGCCTCAGATTTCTGCATGCCCACTGAAGCTCGATACTTTTTACTTGGAGAATAAAAAAGTCACATCGAAAACTACCAAGCAATTTTTTAACTTCCTGAAATAAAGGAAGTGGCACAGCAGTGGGCGAAGCTTTCTGAAAGCTGCCAAATTGCTAATACTTTTGTGGGGGAGAAACCTAAATTAAGAAGCTAATGGGAAAAAAGTGCGAGTCCTGCAAGCATTTATTTTGCTTTCTTTATTATTATTATTATTTAATGGGAATAAAGGATTTTTTAATTGTTGTTTTGATTGTTTTGTTCTGCTGTCGTTGTTGCAAAGACAGCACTGTTGTTGCATTGCATCAGTTATGTTAGCACGACTTTTTTGAAAAGCAAGTCAGCTTAGATATTTGAAAGTATTATATTATCAATTTCCCACTGAAGATTTCAAAGAAGCATGCAGCTGTCTGCTGAAGATTTTCAGAAAGCTAGCTATGCCAAGCAGGTGAAGATGAAAGACTAATGAACAGTGCACAAAGCGCTGATGAGTTTAGTGAAACACTTCAGCAATGCAAACGCTTACAATGCTCTCTGAGTAAATACTAATACAAAAACGAGTCCCAAAGCACACCCAACTCTTACTAATAAGTGACTGAAAATTGTTCTTGCCATAAAACCAAAGCCTACGCCAACATTTCCTAACATTTATCCTCCAATAACAAATTCCTGTGGAGAAGACTGCACAACAGTCCCTAGCCACCACGCAGAGTAATCTATGCAGCAAAGCTGAGATAATGCTTCTGGCTCCCTGATGGAAGAATCAGCCTCTCTGAGATACCTGCTCCGACCCTTCCCACTCTGACCATTATTTATATAAAGGGGTCCCACATCAAAATTCAATGAAATTAGGAAGTTATGCAGATGGGTCATAAATGTAAAGTGTAATACCAGACAGAAGGAGAGGAGCTCTGTGTTCTCACAAGTGCATGTGCCAAACTGCGCGGAGAAAACAAGGTCTGTGAGGTTGAGTACTTGACATTGTAGCATCAAACTGTTAATTGCTTTAAGTGTCCTAATGTAATGAAGAGTTAAAACATCATTTCTTTGATGCTCTTCGTTAAAAAAAAAAAAAAAAAAAAAAAAAAAAAAAAAAAAAAAAACACAGAGGAACTCACTAAAGCTAGACTGCTGTGTGCAGACCAAGAAAATAATTACTATTTGAAATAAAATACCACTAACCCTCTTTAAGTCTTCCAGCCCTCTCTGTTAGCTAACACATCAACTGACTGTGGAGGTAGCTGTGAGAGAGCAGACACTAACCTGCCCTTCCTGAAGAAAAGGAACCAGTGGGAAGTCTTAGAAAAAGACTTAAAAAATAGAAAGTAGGACAGAAGATTCAGAAAAAAAGAAAAAGAAAAAGAAAAAGAAAAAGAAAAAGAAAAAGAAAAAGAAAAAGAAAAAGAAAAAGAAAAAGAAAAAGAAAAAGAAAAAGAAAAAGAAAAAGAAAAAGAAAAAGAAAAAGAAAAAGAAAAAGAAAAAGAAAAAGAAAAAGAAAAAGAAAAAAAGAAAAAGAAAAAAAGAAAAAGAAAAAAAGAAAAAGAAAAGAAAGAAAAAAAAAAGAAAAAAAAAGAAAAAGAACTTCACGCTTTTCCTTTACTGTTGGCATTCACTTTTCTTATAATGTAATCTACTAACCAGATTTATTCAGCGCTGGTTTTCTTCAGGGACTCTGAAGGATAAGGAGACTAATGCTTGGACTTTAAAGCTCTTCTTTGCTAGTTATCATCTAAAGGCAGATAATTTTCCTGCTCACATCACTATAAACCTGGAGTTTTTACAGTGACATGATAATAAGAACCATACATACGCATGTGAGAAGAGGTTTCAGTGCTGCATATAATCTACTACCATTTCGGAATACATGTTATTAGCCACTTTTAAGGCAAACATTACTTAAGGGAAAAAAAGCCCTTTGTGTCTGCTATAATCCCTAATTTCTTTAACTAACTAAACTGATGGCAGGTACATGAATATAAAATGCTATACATTCTTTTTACAAAAATGTCTTCTTAAACATAGGTCCATAAAGTTATTATCTTTATATAGAGTACTACCTCAAAATTAACTGCTTTTCTTGCTACTTACAGTATCTGTGACAAATTCACCTGCAGTGGCCTAATATCCACATCTACAATTCTGAAAGTTTTTTAAGAAGCAATTTTTAAAAACTAATTAATTATAAAAGTAATTTCCTGGATATAGAAATTAACTTACAATGGTTGAGATTTTTTTCTTAACCCCACTGCAGTACAAATCAAAATTTGAGGAACCACAAATAGACTCTAAGATCAGGGAACAGCTTAAATGGATGGGAACATTTTTTTATTTTTATTTTTTTTTTAAGATTTTAAACACAGAAGACAAAGTACTGCATTGTGAAATGAAAACAAACATAAAGGTTATATTGAACACATTCACCTAAGAGATCTCTTTTAAATGCAACTACAAATCTTTTTTAAGTTGTTCTTAAAAAAATCACGAATGAAATGACCACACAGAAGACATTTTAGCCGTGTACGTTATGCATCGATCTTCTTGATCCAGGTTCGGACACCACTGCAAATAATTGCATTCTAGTTGCTGAATAAAGAACTTATTTCTCCACTTTACAAAGTTTTGAATCTGTTTTAGTTCTACAGAGGACATTATGGGATCAAAATTAGAGAATGAAGTATCAGTTGCTACCTACCTTTGACAAAAGCATCCTGACACAGGAGGGCAACGCCAAACGCCAAGAGCTTAAGCCACAAAAACATGGTTATTTCTGGAAATCAGGCGTATCCTTATGAAGCAGCATGTGTCTCTCACTGGAAAGCAAAATAAGAGTTATCTGTCTGCAAAATAATTTCTCAGCAAAACTTGAACCAAAAAGGAGAGTAACCAGGCACATACATTATACTGCCTGCTTATCTGTGAAGGAGTCGCTTCCTCTGTTACCCCCAAACTAACCACTCACAAACTTGCTATGCAGTTTAGTGATGTCAGAGACAACTACTTCTTCAAAAAAAATTCTTTCAGTTTCCAGGAAGTCAACAGGGTTTTTCTTAACTTGCTGCAGTAATGCTCAGCTTCCTTAATTCGAGTGAAACAGGTTGTTTTCAGCCATTTCTACTGAGGGAATAACAAGACTTAACTTTTCAAAGGACTGGACCCAACAAGCAGTCAGTCATTCTTTTTCTTTGTATTCACTTTTCTACTGTATGCATTTCATTGAGACCTCTCATTTGTGGACTCTTGAGATTTCTGTTGAAAGAAAGAGAAACCCAAACAACTGGTGAATAAAACCTTTTCTCTGGCAACAGGCCTTCATAAAAACATATATTTCTGAATCTTTCTGCAAGAATGCAGTTCTAGGCATGACAGTAATACCCAACAAATGGATAGAGGTCATCTAATTCTGCTTTCTGAGATGGTCAGTTCTTCACTTGGTATTCTCCGTGCAATTCTCTACCATGACAGTGATGGAGGATTGTGGTCCCTCTCCTGGAGTAGATGCAAGGTAGACCAAAGGCATTTACCCACTATATTCACTGAGCTAAGATTCAATAACTGGATAACAAATGCCCGTTACATGGTAGCTTACAAAGGGAATAAATGTTGGAATTGCTTTTTTTTATTAGAGGCTGCAAAGTTTTTAAAAGATCCACCAGAATGCTGTCATGAAATTAAAAGGGAAAGGAAGAGTATATATGTAGAATCACAGAATCATTAAGGTTGGAAAAGATCTCCAAGAACACCTGATCCAATCATCCCACAAATTTTGTGTTTATTGCTCATGTCATAAATACTTCAGAGACTTCCTAAAGCATCATACTTGAAAATGTTGCACATATTCACACAATAATTTAGATCATATAAGTGAATCCAACTCCTCATAAGATTATATCCAACTTCTACACATCCAATATTGAGTGAAGTCCTATAACACAGGCCAAAATCTTAGCTTCCATTAAAGAGTACAATAATGACATTGTGAATGTGTTTAGAACGAAACTCATGGAAGTCTGACACTTCAGAGACACCAGTTTTGATACATAACTCCATCACCCTAGAGGTGTAAGTTGAATGTGGAATATAGCCATATCTATGACATCTAAGTCCCTGTTACTCTGGATGAAACCTTACTACTGAAGCGTCCCAACTGATGAATATAGTGCATTGCAGCCAATGGAGAATTTTGTGCAAAGGCTCTCAACAAGAACCAGGCTCCATTTCTACCTGACATGCCCCAGCAGTTGTATACAACCTCTGCTTGATTTCTCCAGCTGTCTCCTCAAGAAAAATTCCTCCATAGTGGACCTTTCCTGGCTGTGTGATATTTAAAAAGCCTTCACATCATTTAAAAATTGCAACATATCACATTATTACTTAATGATAACATCACACACTCTAGCCATCATACCGTTATTGCATATTATTATTACTCTCACTTGATAGCTGAGAAACTATAAACCATTATCAGCCATTAAATTACTGATTCAGGTTACAAATGCAACTCATAGATGATTCACTGATTCAAACCATATACCAAGTCTTAGTGAAGTGCAAAAAAAAATCTCTTTCCCAGAGCAGACCCTTCATTAGCAAAACTATTTCAGTGGGCATTGTTTCACAAGGAGTTTAACAATTGCCCTGTATCTGAGGGAGAACAAACACCTTTCACAAAAAATACATAGTGCCTTTGATTTTAGGTTAGTTTCAGATGTTTTAATATTCAATCTGCTTGCAATGCATTTAAAATACAAATCTCAGTAGTCTGCCTATTTGACATTTGTCTATTTGGACATCTGAAGGAGAAATAAAGGCTATCATGGTACTAAAACACTGCATTTCAAAGACTAATTAATAAGCTGATATTTTACTGAAGCTCGCCATGTGCATTTTACTCAAGTCCTTAGAACAGCTGTGTACCTGGTCTAAGAAGGAGGAAGGAAGTGTGTAACAAGAAGCAAACTCTCTCAAGTTTTCTCCCCTCATAATGAGCCTTTGAAAGGAGTCATTATCAAATACATACACAAAGCTAGAAGTTACACAAAAGAAAGTTTGCATCTAAGCAGAAATATAGAATCAGTCTGCAACCTTCTGTAGATTAATATACATGTATTATGGCTACACAGATATATTGTACTCCACCTCTTATTTCATGGCTCAGACAGAACAAATCACAAATATGTTTAAGGCTACTAGAACTTAAAAATCTTCTACACAGACTGCAGGCTTTTTTCCAAGGATAAATCCAGAATTTGGGGGGTGGTAGAGGATTTGTTTACTCACAGATTAAGCAATGGTCTTGTAAAATAAACCCCTTCTCAGTACAGAGTCTTAACTTTTAATCAGCCAGATGACTATGTCAGTATATAACTACAGATGTACACTGCCCCTGAGCCAGAAAGAATCAAAGCCAGAACCATCAATTTTATTATTAAGGATTTCTAAAATTACATTAAAATAGCACAGAAGTGTAAGTCTCCTTCTTCTGTAACTTATGAAGTGGTAAAAACAAACAAAAAGCCTGTAAGAAGTTCTACGAGGAGAGGCTGAGGATATTTGAATTGCCGAGTCTGGAGAAAAGGAGTCCGAGAGGCAACATCACTGCTCGCTGCCACCTCCTGAGGTGAGGAAGCAGAGAGGGAGGCGGCAGCCTCTGCTCCCTGGGAAGATAACAGGACTCAGGAATGGCACCAAGCAGCACTAGGGGAGGTTCAGACTGGACGTCAGGAAAAATGTCCTTACCATGAAGGGGGTCAGACACTGCAACAGGCTTCCTAGCCAGGTGGTTGATGCCCCAGACCTGCCCAGAGGCTTTTGGATAATGCCCTCAATGATGTGCTTTAACTTTTGGCTGGTCCTGAGGTGCTCGGGCAGTTGGACTGGATGAAGGTCCCTTCCAACTGAACTATCCTAGTCCAAGTAAATCTTCCATTGTCTGATTTACCCATCTCACTATACAGTACAGGTGTTAAATTAGCATAAGAAAAAATCTGTACAGTTATACACCAGTTCAAAGGGCAATTGTGTCACAACTGGAAAAAAATCTAAAAAATAAAAATAAAAAAAGAATAGGATGAAGTGCTAATAATTTGCCCTTCATATTATACCCAAGACCTTTGGAAAAGATCACAAATGCATTGCAGAAAAGGTACACTGAAGTCATTTATATTTTCTTGCAGTTTTAAATAAAGTTTTTTGCTATAAATTGTGGGTGGTGACAGAGGAATAGACAAATATGAACCTCCTACAGCTCACAGCAGTAATTACTAATATACATCTACAGACATCAAGATATTGTTTGTCACTCTGGCCTCCTGTTTTATGCCAAAAATTAGTTACGAACCAAGTCCTTGACATACAGAGGAAATAAGGGGAATTCAAAGGAGAAGGAATTAAAATATTATGTCCTTGTTGCAAATGCCTCCACAACTTCTCATAAAGCATCAGGAAAAAACACTGCAGTTACTCAGAGACTGATCCTAGATGGTGCAAAAGCCCTGACCAGGTCCCAAACAATCTCAGAGGTTGCAGAAAGAGACCAAGCTCTCCCATAGCCTCCCCAGTTATTGACAACATCCTTTCTACTAAGAGGTGTTTCTGAAGGTCTGGTTTTTAAGCTGTGCTGTGGCAAGCACAAAAGCATCAGATTAGAGTGCACCAGGCATGGTGTGAGCCTCGACACTGCTACACAAGGCATTTCACCTCTGTGACTTCTGAAGGCAACGGCACGGAGCAGTTGTCCTGCTCGGCCAGCTCTTATCACACTGTGTAGGCAAAAGCAAGGAAGGGAAAATTCACCTGCCTGTGCCTGATGGCATGGATAAGCAGATTGCCTTTCCCTGTGCATTTCACCCACTTTCAGACAAAACCAAATGGGAAGTTTGGGCTGTACCTGCTTATGCAGAAGTCACAAGGAATGAAGTCAGTGAGGAAGGCACTGAATGAGGCTGGAGTGGGCAACATGCAAGAAGAGGCCACAGTTTTCAAACACATCTAAGACAGGACAAGCATGAGCAATAACGGGGGAGTAAAAGGTACCCATGTAGGCCACATAAACTGCTCCATAGCTTCCTGCTTTACAATAGCTTTACTAGGAGGTGGTTCAGGGCACATGTGGCATCTTGCTCTTGTCAGTACAGAATTCTGCTTTGTTTCCTCCGTCCTAAATAATACGGGGGAGGGCGAGGGAGAGAGAGAAAGAGAAAGACTGTGTGTGCATCATGTCACATCCTGCCCCAAATAGCTCCATCACATGCTTATGCAGCTTCAAAATCCCCTGCTATTCTTTGGGGAGGAGCTGGTTCCTGCTCCCATGAAGGGCAGAGGAAAGTAGAGTCTCGCCATAAAAACCACCACTATTTACCCGACAGGCAGAGAGAGCACAAACACTTCATCCACGCAGGGGACTTTGAAACTTCACACTTCAACCCCCACAGGGTGTTCCCAGAGCTGTTCCCTATCTTTACCTGGTACAACAGGTAGAGATAGGGAAGACAAGGAAGAGAGAGTGAAGGCCAGGAGTGGTAGTAACCAGGGTATGAGCAGGGTTTTCATACAGCCGCAGACGAAATAAATTTCTGTCTCAGGTTGGATTGTCACGGGATGCCCCGAAAAGACTGTGGCACGCTGTATGTGCCATCAAGTATAACATAATAGCCAGACTCAACAGCTGTCACTTCAGCATTCATTGGAAAGAATTTTAACTAGGGCGTGTTTATGTTAATTTAGGAGGTGGTGTTCTCCATAGTTACATAACCTGATGCTACTTTATGCTAATGTGCTTACAGGATGTTGTATAAATTAGTTTTCTCAAGGAACTCTATTTTTGAGAAGCCACCTTTGTTTTCTTTTTTGGTCCAGAGGCCTCAAAGTGTTAAGCAAAGAGCACATAATTCAATAAAAATGAAACTCTCTAGATCTCCACTCATCACTTGGATTTAAATGACAAGTTAAGCACACTTTCTTTGTTCTGCATAATTTTCCTTGCATGGAAGTCATTTCATATGCCTCAATTCTGTTACGTTCACATTCACCATGGCTGCACATCAGAATTAAGCAGTTCCACAAAATCTGAAGTCGCACACCTTTGCAAACACTACGAGACACAGGATAAATTCATCCCAAGGGCAACTCTGTTTAAATCAATGGAGCCACCTCCGTACTGCATTTCATCCTGTGAAATTAATTTGCTGAGATAACTGTGAAAACATTGTCCAAAATTGTGCTAAAGAATATATGTTATACCACTTTTA